ACCTTCAAATATTCTGACTCTCCTCTCTATACATGTATGTATGTATTTGCCCAACTCAACTGTAAACTTTAGAAAGCCCTGGTCTAGAAATCAGGTTTCACTGGAAATTATGTCACTGTTGGTTAAGTGGGGACCCATAAAGTGGGAACACACATATTACTACCCATCCCTGCAACTTCAAAGGAATAAGACCAAATTTCATGTCTGAAATATTAACAGAAGGTATTTAATTTATAAAAACAATTATTAATAGTTATCATTAATGTAAACATTGGGAAACAGTAGAGTTCAAAATCTTTTAAAGTTATAGAGGACAGTCTCCTTTATAATTAAAGATACAAAATAACATAAAGTCATATTGTTATTCTTTGATCTTCAAATATAAAAATGTGGTATCATTATAGCCATAGCAGTTGTCCACATTAAAATAAAAGTACTATTTTTACACTGATTAGCCTCTATAATTCACAAGTAATTGAGGTTTTTGTTTTTACCTAATCCTTAGAAATGAGCTGGGATAAGAAATTAAAACTCTATCAGCTAGGAAAATAAAAATGATATCATGATTACTGCTTCCCAATAATCATTTATAACACTAATAAAGTGAAGAAAAGCAAAGTTAAACACCATGAGCAGTTTAAGTCAGGTCCTATTTACCTGCTCTTCTAATTTTATTCTTACTCTCTAAAATTTCAACTTAACAAAAGTTTAGGTTCAGGTTTTCTTAACAAACAGCTCTGTACAAAACCAGATGCTTTGTAAAGATGGCCAGGGATATTTACAGAAATCCATAGTCCTAGTCTAAGAATTCCAAGTAAACTATTTACGATAGGACAAACTGTTTTTCTTTCATTTGTAAATTAAAGTACCATTGTAATATAGGTTAAAATAGATGCTCCTTGACTTACAATGGGGTTACATCCTGATAAAGCCATTGTAAGTTAAAAATATTATTAAGCCAAAAATACATTTAATACACTTCACCTACCAAACATCATAGCTTAGTCTAGCCTACCTTAAACAGGCTCAGAACACTTATATTAGTCTACAGCTAGGCAAAATCACCTAACACAAAGCCTATTTTACAATAAAGTGTTCAATAGCTTATGTAATTTATCGAATACAGCACAAAGTCTCGGTTGTTTGCTCTCGCAATCATGAGATCACAAAAGTAAACTCCCTACTGCTGCCCAGCATCATGAGAGAGTATCTTACCCGATATATCCTCAGCCCTGAAAAAGATCAAAATTAAAAAATCAAAGTATGGTTTCTACTGAATACGTATTACTTTCACACCATTGTAAAGTTGAAAAACCATTAAGTTGGACCATCATAAATTGGGACCATCTGTATAGGGTTTGCAAAAGGGCTCACCGGTTAAGAGGTCTTTTCTGTTCATTTTCTATATGAATCGATGGTAGCCAGGATAATACCAACATATATAAACCTATGAATATGATTTAAAAGAGTAATAAATTAAATCATATTTGCAAACCTACAGGCATAATGCAAATTACTCTAGATGTCTGGGGTGTGATTATGTCCCCAACTGCCTGGACTGAGTTCATATCCTGAGTCTACTCTTCACTGTGTGACCTTGAGCAAATATTCAATCTGTATATACCTGAGTTTTAGCACCTATAACTGCACCATACAATATTACAGCTATTAACCACATTGAGTTTTAAATTTAAATTAAGTAACATTTAAAAATTCAGTTCCTCAGTTGCACTGGCCACATTTCAGGGGCCTAGTAGCCACACGTGGCTAGAGGCTATCATACTATACAGTACATAGATATAAAAATGAGCAGGATGATATGGTGGAGAACAACAAGGGGGAACAAGGTGATCAGAGTGACTATTATAAATGAGGTGGTCAGAAAAGGCTACCTGGAGGAGTTGACATTGGAGCTGAGACTTGTATGACAAGATGCAACTAGCATGAAAAGATCTGCAAAGAGCACCCTAGGCACAGACAAAAACAGCAGCAAAGGTCTCAGCCACAAATGTCTTGGCTGCTTTAACAATAAGAAGAGTACCTGAAGCATAAGAAATAAGGGGAAAGGAGTATAAGGTACAAGAAGTGGCCTTATAAGCCATGTAAGAACTTTGGATTTTACATTAAGTGCAATCAAAAACCATAGACGGTTAGAAAAAGGAGACTGTTGCAATCTAAATTATGTCTTAACAGCTCACTCTGACTGCTGTTGTGAACTAATTACTATAGGAAACCAAGAGTGGAAGCAGAAAGACCTGTTAGAAGAAGACAGGCGCCATTGCCCAGGTTGACAGAAGATGGTGGCCTGGACCAGAGGGATACAGAAAATGTGCTCCTCTACTCTATGTCCACTGTCAACAATACTGTACCTACTATCCTTCACAACCAAGCTCCTTAACATCCAGAAAATATGCTTTTTGCCTCCAACATTCCACTGAAACTGTCCTAAGGTCCCAATCACCTCTGCCTTCCCAAAACCAATGAGCACTTTTCTATCCTTATCTTACCTGACTTCAGCTGCATTTGCAAAACTGCTGACCACTCCTTACCTCCATCATATTCTCTCCTTCCTCAGCTCCTGGGGCATTGCTCTGGTTTTTCACTCTGTTACTCCTCCATCTTCTTACCAGTAACCTCTACTTGACTCTTAAACTTCAGTACTCAGTGCATTTCAAAACATACATAATGCTACTTGAGATTGAATTGGCACTTTTTCTGGTAACTCTCAAATTAACGTCTCTGGCCCAGGACTCCCTATTGTTTTCGATCTCTCTATACCGTATTCAATTGGACTTCCTCACTTGGACATACCATAAACATTTAAAATGCAAAAGGTTCAAAATTTGTCTCCTTCATTCTCTCTTATCATATACCAGTCTTCAAACTACAGCCCGCAGGCCACATGCGGGTGTTTTTGCCCGTTTGTTTTTTTACTTCAAAATAAGATGTGTGCACTGTGCATAGGAAATTGTTCATAGTTTTTTTTAAACTATAGTCTGGCCTTTCAACAGTCTGAGGGACAGTGAACTGGCCCTCTGTTTGAAAAGTTTGAGGACCCCTGTCATATACCCTTGCTCAAGCCAAAGCCAAAGGCTTCCTAACTCCCTGTCATTAGCAATCACCCCGACAACCAGACCTTCACAAGATCTGGCAGATTCCACCTCCTTATTATTTAATCAAGCCCTTCTTCTCAAATCCTGCTAAGGCTATATTAGTTGAAGATCACTTCACTTCTTGTCCGTGTTGTTGAAACAGCCTCCCAACCAATTTCCCTGCTACCAATCTCTCCTCCACACTGTTGCCAAAACACATTACAGGTACTCAACAAATTTTGTTGGTTACATTAAGTACAAATCAGGCCACATCATTTCTCTGTTTAAAGTCTTTCAGAGAAAACACCTGACAACTTTCACAAGGCTTCTCATGATCTAGCTTCTTATAACTATTACAGCCTCATCTCCCTGACACTTTCTTTTTTTTTTTTTTTTTTTTTTTAGTGTCCAAATGCCCAGTAACTCCCTGACACTTTCTGCATTCAACTGTTCTTAGTTCTCTAATACAATGCCACCTCAGGCCTCCCTTCCTCTGCACATGCTATTACCTTTCCCTTATTCCTCTTCAGGTGTCCTCAAACTAAGGCCTGCAGGCTGCACGTGGCCACCTAGCACATTTATCCAACCCTCGGGGTGTTTTTGCCGCAGCTGCCTGTCCTGCTTAGCAGACAACTCACAGGCCCACAGTGCGCACTCTCCAATGGTCTGAGGGACACTGAACTGGCCCCCTGTTTAAAAAGTTTGAGGACCCCTGCTCTAACTATTACTTCAAAGTTCAGGCTTAAGTATCACCATTTCAAGAAAGTGCCTAACACAAATCTCAATCACACTGAACGGCAGGTACTGATTTGTCTGTCTCCCAGTAAATCATAAGCTCCTAGGGGCACGGCCCACCAACCTCATTTGATTTGTAACACCAATGACTGGCACAGAGTAAATATTCTTTCATAGATGGTTTCGGTATCTTCTAAATTTTAAAAAGGAGAGGAGCTTATGTAGCAGGCCTTATATCACCATTTCATTATGGCATAAAGTGACCGCACTGTACTACAAAGCCAAACGTGCTTCATATTGGAAATGCAAAAAAAACAAAACAAACAAAAAAAAACACAGACTCAAATAAACACAAAGTACACCCTTTCAAAAGGAGAAACATATGTAGTACCTAACAAACCAGGCCTGGGATTTTATACAACGTGAGGAATGGCTTATTTAACACTGTTCGATGATAATAACAGGTGGAAGGCTTCTTATCTCAATAAAGCAAAATAACTTTTCTTGGCTATGTCACTGTAATTTTAGTTCCTAATGTTGATTCTCACTTACTTCCTGACAGGTCATTCTTCTTATGACAGAGACTCTTACCACCTTAAGAGTCACTCATTTGTCAATCAGCCATTTGTTCTCTAAATCTGAATAGGGGCCAGGGGATAGAAGAGAGCGCGGGGGATGATAAAACACTTTCAGAAGGGAGGTGGCAGAAGGCCACAGTCCCAGCGATGGAAGAGAGTGGGCCTTGGGGTTAATACCAGGGTGGAGAGCTGACATGTGGGAAGGACCCGGGAGGATGTGATCACGGGGCACACAATATGAACCAGGGGACCCGGAGCTGAAGAGAGGTGGGGAGAGGGAAGATACTGAGAAAGAAAGCTGGGGCAGGGGAGCGGCAAGGAAGCAGCGATAGGCAGAGGCGAAAGGAAGCAGTAAAACGCAGTTTTTGGCCAGAGGGGCTAAGGAGAAAAGCTGGCTGGAAGAGAAGAGACAACACCCACCGAGCTTTATGACAAGCCGGGCAGGGACGGTCCCAGGGCGAAGAGGGGAGGCGAGAGCAGAACTAGGGGCCCAAAGGGCAGAGGCAGGCGGCTCGGAGCCGGTAGGAGACCCGAAGCCGCCAAGCAGAGGCCGCGGACCGCCGGGGAAGGGAACTGCGAGGCGAGGGGCACTTACTGGGGTCCCTCCGCACGGCGCCGGCGGGGATCTCCTCCCGCAGGTGAGGGAAGAGGAAGTCCCGGGCGGCCTGGAGGTCCTGGAAGTAGCAGAACTGGACAATGGAGCAGGCCATGGCTCCAGGGAACCCCACTCGGCACTCACCTCACCCCACCACGCCCTGCCCCCTCCACCCCACCGCGGCCACAGACGAGCCCCAACAGCTTTAGCCTCGCAGGAGGCGGGGAAACCAAACCGGAAGTTGCCAGCACACTCGGGAAGTTGTCGGGGCACTGCGCAAGCGCAGGCCGCCCAGGCGCCCGGGAAAAACGAGGCCCGAGTCACATGACCAGCGGCGCCGTTGCGGGCGGAGGCTACGTCTACGTGGAGGCTTGGGACGGATTTTCATTCCCAGTTCTGCGTCTACGCGCACAGCGAACTCTTTCATTCATTCTGGCTTTTAGCCAGAGATGTTCTAATTGGACTTTGTCTGCGCGAGCCATTGACTCCTTTAACTAATCTTATTGATGGCCTTCTATTGGCACGATCCTGATATTTCACAGAGAATAATCCGTCTTAAACTAGTGACAGGCCAGTAAGGGACGATATCATGCAACTATCGGCTTTTGGCAGGGTTAAGTGCTATTCCAGAAATCAGCTCTGTCAAGGCTGGCTTTAAATGCTCCTCCTATAAATTCCCATAGTACCCTGCAAGCCCAGCATAGTACGGGTTGTACTGTAGTATACGTTTTCATCACCCGTTTTTGGTTTTTCATTCATTTGTTCATTCAGGATGCCTGAAACAATGGGATAGCACCAACCTTATGTATGTGTGCTGTTTATAAAGTTTAATTTATAAATTAGGCACAGTAAGAGATTAATAATAACTAATAAAATTGTATATTGTAATAATAAAAGTTATGTGAATGTGGTTGTGCTCTCTCAAAATATCTTATTGTACTTTACAGCAGGTAACTGAAACTGCACAAAATGAATCTGAGGATGGGGGGGGGACTGCTGGATTCAATTATTTAACTGAAATTGTGACACTGCTAGAAAGGAAAGTAGTACAAAGTGCTATGACAAAACATAACCGGGGAAATGACTTAGTTGTTTTTCTGTTTTGTTTTTTGGCTGGGGGAGGGGGGGAGCACAAGGATAGGGCCTGGCCCACAATAACTGCTTAATAAATATTTGCTGAAGAAATAAATGGAATAGAATGTGTACAGAAAGTAAATGGAATAACTTGTTTCTTTTACAGAACACTTTCTAATTTTGGAAGTACTTTTCCATACATTATCCAATTGGATAGTCACAAATGCCGTATTAAAAGAGAGTGTCATGGCAGACAGGTGGCTCACGCCTGTAATCTTAGCATTTTGGGAGCCTGAGGTAGCAGGATCACCTGAAGTCTGGAGTTCCAGACTAGCCTGAGCAAGAGCAAGACCCCTGTTTCTACTAAAAATAGAAAAAAGGTTGGCTGGCCACAGTGGCCTGCACTTATAGTCCCAGCTACTAAGGCTGAGGTAGGAGAATCACTTGAGTTCAGGAGTTTGAGGTTACGGAGAGCTATGATGATGCCACCACACTCTAACCAGTGCAACACCAGGGCAAGACTGTGTATGTAAAAAACCAACCAAACAAAAGAAACCAGTGTGTCTTATCCCAATTTTTTAATGAAGTAATTGATTAAAGTGTCACTGAAGAGACTCTTGAAGTCCATTTAAGTTATTTTACTAAAAAGTAAAAACTAAAAAGGAATTATTTTAATGTTAGCACAAAGAACTGTAGGCATTCACACACTTCCCAAAGGAAACTTAAAGAGGTCACCCACTTTGTATGAACATGGAAGGCAAGGAGATGGGGTCCAAAGCATTCATTTCTTCTAGGCCTGTGTACACACTTAGACATCATATAACAACTAAAATCAAGTGCCCAAGTTCCTACTCAATTAATTCCTGTCTCTAGGATAGAATGATTTTCACTAAATAGGATAGACAATTTCTATGCTATCAGGGTAGCAGGCATCAGTTTTTCACCTATAAAATACAGGGTGGGATCAGATATATTGTAAGGCTCCGTTAAGCATCAAGGACCTATAATTCTAAAATCAAAGTTTGCAAAAAAGGCGAGCTGCCGGTGCCCTTCTTCTATCTGAAAAACAAAAATGCAATGTTTCCTCAGATCATCACTCAAAGGAATAAACCAGTCTCAGTAAGATTATTCCCTAAAACCCAGCACCAATGCCAAACTAAAATAAAATTTAAATCTAGATTCTTAGCTTTACTGGATGAATGAAGAACACATGACACTTTCTGGAAGGATACAGTGTCCTTCCTTGGAAACCATTCAAGTTCCTATTCAGGTAAATGCATTTTGTAGAAGTAACTTCCCTTGGCTGATTTGGTTGGCCTTTGTTCTGCCCTGAGGCATTCATATATTTCCCAGTGGTGGTCATTGAATTTCATTACTGTGTTAACTCAGTTTTAATGGTAAAGTCGCTGAGTTTCTTCCAAGTAGTGTTGAAAAGATTCATTCATGAATGTTTTTAAGGATTTTAGATTCCCTTTACAGAAATCACAACACATTCATGAACTGAAGTCTTCCCTCAGGAAGCTGTAAAGCTGCAGGGGGATGCCTCTGCAGTCCTGCTGCCATGGTTTCTGTGGAGAGTGGGAGGATTGCCTCAGACAGTAAATGTCAGTAACCACACAGTCATCATGAAGCGCATTGCAGAAGTGTGCAGGCCTGACGTATCCCAGCATAGAGAATGTCTCCCTGAGGTACGAGTTCAGGAGCTAGGAAAAGCACTCTGACCAAAACAACAACAGGAGGGCTCCAGGTACTAATGTGAACTTTCCCCCTCACTGTGAGTCCTAACACTGATGACAGTTGTTGGGAGATGCTTACTGAGGATGGTTAGCAGCAGATCCTTGCCAATCCTTAAGGGCAGCTTGAGGCTGAAGGGGTTGAGATGCAGGATAGGCAGCAACATGTGAGAGAAAGAGCAATGGATTCTGGGTAGATGCCCAGTATTCTGAAATTAATTAAAAAAAAAAAGAAGAAGAAGAAGAAAAAGAAGAAAAGAAAAAAAGAGCAGTGGATTCACGTCAGCAGATCTCGGGTTTGTTTCAACTCTGTCACCAATTGGTCTCATGACCTCATGACCTTGGGCAATTCATGTCATCTTTCTGGGCCTTCATTTCTTGAACTATAAAATGAAGAGGTGGGGCGATAATGTTCACCCCAGGGAAATGTTGATTTGGGTAAAAGACTGGGAAGGGAAAGTTCTGGGAGTTGGAATTGCTCAAAAGGGATGGTCTGTGTAGGTACCGCAGGAAGACGCCTGGGTCAGCAGGAGTGGACATGGGGCCTTGGGCATCTCTGAGTGAAAGGAAGGGGAGCAGAGAAAGGGGCTGGAGAGTCCCTGAAGCTTTATTTCAGAGCTTTGCTATAGGACATCCTTGAATGTCCTATAGCAAAGTCCTATAGCAAAAATGTCCTATTGAATACCATGTGAACTGAAGCAAGGGATATCTACAGATAGTTTTTATTAAAATAACCTCTATGAAGGGCTTATGACACTACTGGTGCTGTGGGAAACAAAGAGAGGCAATAAGGACAGCTCTCCAGAGACTCATGACCTAAAAGCAGACAAATACAGACAACTTATAAGAGCAGAGTGTGATGAGTACCATGGGTGGCTTTGGGAGGAATTAGGGGAGAGTAGTTGTGATCACTAGGCCTGTCCTACAGAAAAGGGAGAGTGAGGAAGAGGTAGGAAAGGCAATAAACAGATTGGTTCTCAATTACAGAGAACCTAAAAGTCCAAATGGTATTAATCTGATTTTTTTCTCTGTGCAAGGGGTAGCCAACTAAAGATTTTTTTTTTTTTTTTTTTCAGAAACAGAGTCTCTCTCTGTTGTCAAGGCTAGAGTGCCATGGCATCAGCCTAGCTCACAGCAACCTCGAACTCCTGGGCTCAAGTGGTCTTCCTGCCACAGCCTCTTGAGTAGCTGGGACTATAGGCATGTGCCCGGCTAATTTTTTCTATATATTTTTAGTAGAGATGGGGTCTCATTCTTGCTCAGGCTGGTCTCAAACTCCTGAGCTCAAATGATCCACCCGGCTGGGCGTGGTGGCTCACGCCTGTAATCCTAGCACAATGGGAGGCCGAGGCGGGCGGATTGCTCGAGGTCAGGAGTTCCAGACCAGCCTGAGCAAGAGTGAGACCCCGTCTCTACTATAAAATAGAAAGAAATTAATTGGCCAACTAATGTATATAGAAAAAATTAGCTGGGCATGGTAGCACATGCCTGTAGTCCCAGCTACTCTGGAGGCTGAGGCAGCAGGATCGCTTGAACCCAGGAGTTTGAGGTTGCTGTGAGCTAGGCTGACGCCATGGCACTCACTCTAGCCTGGGCAACAAAGTGAGACTCTGTCTCAAAAAAAAAAAAACACCAAAAAACAACGATCCACCCGCCTTGGCCTCTCAGAGTGCTAGGATTACAGGCGTGAGCCACCACACCTGGCCCCCAACTGAAGATTTTTGAAGAAGAGCTGGCAGTACCTGGGAGAAGTGAAGGCAGAGAGACCCCTCAAGATATCATGGCATTATTTTAACTGAGAAGAAAGGCAATGCTGCTCTGGAAGCCGAATCAATGGAGTTTGGGTATAAGGTTAGATATAGGTGTAGGAAGAGGAGTTAAGACCCTCGATGACGTTCAGGTGTTCAGTCTACAGAACTAGCGAGGTGGTGATGTCATGTCAGCAGCCAAGATAAAGAATGCAAAAGGAGGAATAGATTTGAAGCAAACAAGAACAGGACAAATTCAATGCTGTGTTTGTTAACTTTGAGGTGCCTACAGAAGAGTTAGATTAAGAAAAGTTGGTTTTTACAAACAAAAGTTAGAAATGGGAAATTAGAGAGATGAGAGCTAGAACCTACCTATGGAAGTTATGGACGCAGAGGTTATATTAAAGGGAGGGGATGAAAATGGCAGTGGACTCCAGATTGGATAAGAGTAGCTAGGGAGACAAGCTGAGGACTAGCTACTTTTTTTAGGGGTGTGTGATATTATTCCTGGCTCATAACTCCCATCACCTGGTTACAGTCTTTTATTTTAAAGTTGGGGCACTTGAAGCCTCAGAAGCAGGCCATAGGAAACAGAATCTTTCTTTCTCTCTCTCTCTCTCTCTCTCTCTCTCTCTCTCTGACCTTCTCTTGTTCTCCTTTCATCTGCAAAGAGAGAGCAAAAAGAATCTGGACAGACAGGTCTTGCTGGGTTTGGATTATACCCTTTTTGTCCACATAGTGA